TCTTAAAACATACATTTTTTGTTGTTGTTGTCTTAAATTAATTTTCATTTTAATAATTAACTATAATTATATATCAGTATCAGTCGGAGTCGGTAATTTTATTTATTTTTTCTTTTTTTTCTCTCAATTAAAATCTCTCCCGGCGCATCATTCACATTGGAAACCGATCCAATCTGATTATAAATAAATATATAATATTGCATATTATACATATATAATTATATATATATTATTATATATAAATATATATACATATATAATTTTTTGTTTTGTTTTCAATTAATAAGCGAGGTTCGGCTAGACCGAGATTGAAGGAAAAAAATTTTATACTTAAAAAATGTTTCGATGGAAAGTGAGCAAAAAAAATTGACAAACTGGATTTTTTCCAAAAAAATTTTTCTTTCTACAAAAGAAATTGTTATTTCCAAAAAAAAATTGTTTTTCTACAAAACAAATTGTTTTTTTTCTACAAATGAAATTTTTTTTCTACAAAAGAAATGTTTTTCTCCAAAAGAAATTGTTTTTTCAAAGAAAAAAATTGTTTTTCTACAAAAGAACTTGTTTTTAACACAAAAAATTGTGTTTCTACAAAAGAAATAGTTTTTTACAAAAAACAATACGAAGAAGAAAAGTTTTTCTTTTTTTATTTTAAAAGAACTATTCGCGGTAAATTAACGACTTTTTTTCTTCTATTTTTCGAAATAAAAGCAATATTAATTACTATTATTATTATTATAAAAAATTAATATTATTAAATAGAAAATAAAACTATAATTGATAATAATTAATTATTTATAATTTTTTTATTATTAATTTATTAATAATAAAAATAATAATAATAATAATAGTTTTTTGTTTTCGTTTCCTCTTTTTTCTGAAAAAAGGATAAAAATACAAAAAAAGGAAAAAATAGAAAAAAACATGAGAAAAACAATTTTTACAAAATAACTTTCTGTGACTTTGTTCGCTGAGCTTTTTCATATTCACATTCCATCGCAAGCAATATTATTAATTTTCTTTTTAATTAATTTTCAGTCTGTCGAATTCTCGCAATTTTTTTTTTGTCATATACATTTAAAATTCTCAGATTAACAATATTTCGTGTGTGTGTTTGTTTGTTTATTTACAATTTCGCTAAAAGAAAATTAAAATTAGAATTAAAGAAACAAAAATATAATAATTGTCAAAAAAATAAATAAAAGGTAAAAATTTAAATTTTGAAGAAGACAAAAAAATAAATGCGATTTTTTATTTATTTATTTATTTATAAATAAATATATTACAAATTTCAAGGGTACAATACCCGATTGATGTAATATTTTTTTGTTTGAAATTTGAGAAAATTAGTTTTCTTTTTGTTTTGGTAATTTTTATTTATTTTTTTTTTTTTGCAGAAAATATAAAATTTGAAAAAAACGTAATTTTCTCTTAATTTTCATTTTTTTTCTTTTCTTTCGAAAATTCGCATTTATTTTAATCTGTTCCTTTTCTTGCTGAATTTCATTATTCTTTTTTTGGGACGTGTGCAAATTATTATACATTTTTTTATACACTTTCATTCAATGAAAATTATTCCTTTTCTTTAAAACAATGCAATTGTTTGGTTTTTTTTTTGTAAAAAACGACACATCTTTATTTATTTTTTTTTTCAAAAAAACATTCTGTGCAAGGGTTGTACGAAGGCGAAGTGAACATTTTGTCTTTTTTACCATTCGAATTTTTTTTATTTTTCTTTTTCGCTTTTTGGTGCGAAAAGTTCGAAAATACGATTTCACTTTATTGATACAACCCTTTTTTTTCGGTGAAAGAAAAGTTTACAAAATTCGTTTGAAGCACAGCCAGAAACAGCGCACGATTATAATTAAAAGTTTTCTTTTTTTTTTTGTTTATTTTTTTCTTTAATATTAATTTACTTATAGAGATGAAAATAAGTTTCGAAATAATTTTCTTTTAATCATTTAGAAAATTTTTTTCTTTAAATTACAAGTCATTTATTGGATTTTTCAAAAGTCCAATTTACAGTTCTGTTTATTAGAAAGAATTTTATACAGCAATTCATTATTTTTACCGTCTCATCACTTGAGAAAGTTTTTTTTTTTGTCTTTAAATTATATCATTATTAGAAGAAAATTAATTACTGAAATTAATTTCTAAAAATTAATCTAAGAAATTATTTTTCTGAAATTAATTTTTAAAATTTAGCTAACTATTGAAAATTAATTTCTTGCTGAAATTAATCTGAGTATAGTGCAATAATTAATTTCTAAATCGAAACTAACTAATGAAATTAATTTCCAAAAATAATCTAAATTCAATTAATTTACTCTAAAATAATTTCTAAATTTAAATTTAAACTAATTAATAAAATTAATTTCTAAAATTAAGCTAATTAATTAAAATTATTTAAATCCATTCATGAATTATTCATGAATTTAATAATCTTGTGTGATAAATAAATACACGATATTCAATTTATTTAATAAAAAAAATAACAATTTTCCAAATTAGTTCAAATAATAATTAATCAAATCTAGGAAAATTAAAATTAATTGATTAATTAATAATTAAAAAATTTTGAAATTAAATATTTAAAAAATATATAATATTGTATAAATAAATAAATAAATAAATTTAATTCAAATAATTGATTAAAACGAGAATTAATAAAAATTTAAAAACTTAAATATATATTTTTTTCAATCTAAAAAAATTATTATTGAAACGAGTTTTTAATTACTTAAATTTCCAATTAAATTTTTTTCTTTATATATTTTTTTAATCATTGAAGATTAGATATTTACATTCGTTTTCATATTCCATTTTTTTGTCCTTTGTATAACACAGCCATTTTTGTAACAAGTTAAAATGAAAACAGTATTTTATTTTTTTTTATTTTAGTTTTCTTTTTTTTTTACTTTTGATTTTAATTATGCTTCTAACTCACGTTTCTACTATTATTAATTAAAAATACAGTTTTAAAACATTTTCACAGTAATTAAATTAAATAAACTTTGAAATAAGTAGCTTTTTGAATTAATAAATTAAATTAAAATTATTAAATAAATAAATAAATAAATGACTAACAATATAAATAATTTCTAACAGAAATTATTTTTGAGATAAATTATCAACAACAAAAAAATCAAAAATTATAAAAAAATAATAATAATAAATAAATAATATTATAATAATAAAAAACTGTTTGTTTTCTTTCAGAAAATTTATCCAGAAAGTTTGACTAATTTTTTAAAATTATTTTAATTAACAAATTATTAGTTTATAAACTAAAATTAAAATTTGAATCGTTTTTTTCAAACTATTTCAAATAATAAGAAAATTTGTAAATATTTATGTTTATAATAATTAAAAAAAACGTGTTAAAATATTTACATTTTCGATATTATTAATTTTTTAGCTTCTTTTCTCTTTTACACTTTTTGTAAAATTTATATGAATTCCTATATGGTTTTTAGAATTCTTTTATTGAAGAACAATATTTATGATTAGATGTGTAAAATATTTTGCAAAAACTAAAGGCAATATAACAATTTTTGTTATAGAGAAAGAATAACAAATAAATAAAAAATAATTTTAATAAAAAAAAAATAAATATTGAAACATTTAATTAAAAATGTTGAAAATGATTAAAATTTGTAATCATTTTAATTAAGGACAAATTTCCCATTAAACAATCAAAATAATTGGTTTTTTAATTAAATAATTGAAGTTTTTTGAAAGGACCTTAATTTTAAATTTTAAATTACAAATTGAATTACAAATATGTTTTAGAAAAAAATATCCTAAATTAAAAACATTGTATAATTTGGAACTTTTTTTTTAATTTGGAAATATTTTCAACTTTTTTTTTTAATTTGTAAATATTTTAATTTGAAAGAATTGTCAAATTTAGAAATATTTCAAATTTTAAAAAAATGTTCAATTTGAAAATATTTTTAAATAAAAAAAATATTCATTTTGTAAATATTTCAAATTTTAAAAAAATATTCAATGTTCAATTTCAAAATATTTCAAATTTAAAAAGAAAAATTTCAATTTGGAAATATTTTGAATTGAAAAAATTGTTTAATTTGGAAATATTTCAAATTAGTTACAAAATATTTAAACTAATTCATTTTAATTTGAAAAAAATTTCCGAGGAAACAAAAATTGAAAATTTCAAAGACAAAAGGGTTAACAAAATATTTTTCCTATAGTTATAAGAAATATTTTTAATTATTTTTCAACTCCGAGAACACTTGTCGCATCTTTTATATATGGACATTTATTTCTTCTTCTTAATAATTATTGAGGAATTTCCGACATTTTTTTCTGACGATTTTGAATATCGATTAATTAAATATTATTATCGTTTTATTTTATATTCAAAAATGATAATAATTAACTAGCTTTTTTTTCTTTTACTTAAAAATAAAACCCGTATTTTTAAATTTTTTACTATTCACGCAGTAAAACAAAATTTTGATAATTGAAATTTCAAAAATTAATTTCCAGTTAATTACATAATTAACTTCAAACAGATAATTTATTTATTGGGTCAAAAAGAATTAATCTTTCAATTAAAGAATAATTTTTACAATTGAAAATTATTTATGTTATTGACAATAATTTGTATAATTGAAAATAATTTTTGAAATTGAAACTAAAAACTGAAAATAGAAATTGAAAATAGCGATAATAAAAATGAAAAACTGAAAATGGTGAATAAAGATGAAGAACTGAAAGTAAAGAAGCAAATAAAAATTCTACGATCGATTCTAAATCTAAAAATTAACTGAAAAGTGTTTCTTTTCAAATCGCAATTTTTCCTTCAAGGGTGCAAATGACTTTTTAACAATTGTTAATACTTCCGATTATATACTGATTAATGGAGGCGAATTATAAACAGTAAGAAACTGATTTATATAATTATTTGAATTCCAATTCAATTCTTCTTTTTTTCTCTCATTTTTTAACTATCTGACCTTTTTTTCTCTTTTTTATTCTTCTTCTTTTCCTCAAGTATGTAATTATCGATGTCGAGGGTGGCAGTTGGTTTTTTTTTTCTCTTTTTCGCTCATTTTCTTTTTTTTTTAATCCTTGGTCGGTGAAGCAATATCCTTTTTATTTTCCGTCTCCACTGGCAGCTCGGATTCATTTTTAGATGCGTCGTTGGCCACCAATAAAAGTGGCAAACCACCCAGCACCATACAAGTGCCCATGCACAAGAAGCAAGCACTGTAACTTCCTGTCACGTCCCTCAAGAACCCTGAAAATCAATTTAAAACCATTACTACAAAAATTTCTTACTCGTGACTTTAACATTCACCATTATCATCATCATTCAATTTTCATTCATTCTCATTTGTCTTAAAATAAATATTTTTTCCTCTCTTCCTTTTTTTCACCCTCTGAGTAAAATTAAAGGAATTTTTTAATTTCCAGTGGTTTTATTAGAGAAATTAAACAAGTGAACAAGAAAATAAATAAATAAATTGGTAAATAAATAAACAAATGATAATAATAATAATATTTCTAATATTACTAATTTTTCTAATTTTTCCCCGAATTATTCTTCTTTTCATGTTATATTTTTGTACAAATATTGTCGCCAGAAAAATTTAGCAAAATTATATTATTTTTCACATTTTTGATAAAAATATTTTATCCTAAATTTATAACTTTAATAATATCAAATCTGAAAAAATTAAATTCTTTTAAAGAATTTTATGAAAATTTAAAAATAGAATAAATAATTGAATTTTGTAAAAAGAAATTTTAATAAATTTTATGGAAATAATTGAATTCTTTCGAATTTTTGAAAATAGGTAATTAAATTCTTTCGAGATTTTCTTTTAAAATTGAATTACAAATAATTGAATTCTTCGGATGAATTTTATTAATTATGAAAACAATTAAATTCTTGCAACGAATTTTATTTAAATTTTTCAAATTTTTGAAAATTATTCAATTCTTTCGTGATTTTTTGTTAATATTAGGTATATTAAAAGTATAATTAAATTCCTTACGGAAATTTAATTAAAATTTTTGAAAATAATTGAATTCTTTCGAGAAGTTTTACTGAAATTGAATTGAAAATAATTGAATTCGTGCGGAATTTTTTATTAATTATGAAAGAATTAAATTTCTTTTTCCAAACGAATTTTATTTAAAATTTTTTTTTCAAATTTTTTTTTTAGAAAAATTTAATTCCAAATTTTCTTTTGTTCAAATTTATTTGTGTTTAATCTTAAGGTAATATTAATTATGTAAAAAATAATTTCCGATATCACTAAGGGAAATAAATTAAAATTTTCCAAAATTTATAAATTTTGAAAAGTTATAATTTAATTCAGTTTAAATAATCTTTGGAAATAATAATTTACTGAAATTGAAATTGGAAAATTAATTTAAATTTTTTTTGAAAAACTTTTTTTATTTTATTTTTTATTAAAAAATTTTTGAAAAAAGAAAAATTAATAAAATTCGTAATGTTTGTTTTCTTTAATCTTTTTCCCGAATTAACTTGGGAATTTTTTTTAATATTTTTTGTTCTGGATTTTTTTTGTTTTTGAATCGTATCAATTTTGTATAAAAAATATATTATTATCAGAAAATTGATTAAACAATTAAATTAAAAAAAACATAATTTTCTTGTGTTATATTAATTAAAAGCCAATTTTTAAAAGGAAAATAAGTTTATCAATTGGGGGTAACGGTTAAAATTAGTGTTAAATCATTCTACCATTTACCCTCATAAAATTTAAAGTAAATTAAAACCATTTTCCAAAAAAAATTATTTCGAAATTTTTAAAATTATTTAATGTCTATTTTTTTTTTTTATTTTTTCTGTTGACATTAAATTAAATATGGAATGTTTTGGAAAATAAATAAAAAATTTGAAAAAAAATTTGATCAATAATTGGAAATTTCCGGTATAAAATTAAAATTTTTGGAAAATAATTTTTGCTTTTATTATTTTTGTTGCGATAATTTTTTTTTAATTTTATATAGAATTTTTTTTGACAAATCATTAATGTGTAAAAGTTTGTTTATGTTACCTTACATTTTAAATTGGGGGAAAGAATTATTTTAATAAACGGGGGGTAGTTACCGGTATTTATTTTAAAA